CCGGGAGTGACAGCACTTCTGACCAATCACAGTGGAGGAGCGGTGCGCTCGTGCCAATCACGGTGAGACTCGTTAGAGGTGGGGGTTGCCCTCACGGCCGCGCCGCCTCCGTGAGGGGGCGAGTCGGGATCGTGTCAACGGCCCCGCGCTGTGTCACCCGCCCCGGGCCGTGTCACCCGCCCCGGGCCGGCGCGTGGGCGAAATGCCATCGTGTCACTCGGCCGGAGGGAGCTCCTGGACCGAGAGCGGCCTCGCGTTCCCCCTCCTCGGCCCGGGAGGCGCCGCTCCGTCCTAACATGGCGGGTGCTGCCTCTCATAGCCCGCCCCGGCTGTCAGCGCTGCCGCGGGCACGGTCGGGCCGTGGAGGTCACGGGTGTAGATAGGTCAGTGGATACCCGCCACAAACATTGCTCTCAGAGCAGGATACAGAACTGCTTAAAAATAGCTAAATTTAAAAAAAAAATTGTTAAATGAGGTGAAAATATCAATTCAGTTATCTGGAGAAGTGAGGGACTGGAGGTGCTTAAGCACGGGGGTGAAGAACAACTGCTTTAACCCTTCTAGAGGTGGGAAAATGTTCCCTCTTTCCAAAGGATGGATGGAGAAGGGTTGCGGCAGTTTTACTTACTCTTAATTCATATTGTCATTGCTTGTTTTGGAGAGTTACTACTGCCCAAAGCCCAGCAGACTCCAGTGCCTTCACCTGCCAGCGAGGTGTGAGCTGTTTCTCCAGAGCAGTTCCTTCCTGGCCCTGGCAGAGCCCAGGGCTCGCAGCCAAGGCTCTGCATCCAGCCCTCACAGCACATCAATCCCCACCACACGCGTTCTTTTCATCTTGCTTAGTTCGCTACACGATAGCTAAAATGTACGAGTATTTCTTTTGTTTGATCTTTTTTTGCTCCAGAAAATACTGTATTTGTTTCATAGGAAGAGGTTAGCCTTATTTGATCTGAACTTATGGATGCCTGAGCCAGGATCCTGTTTGCTATAGCACCCTGCCTCAAACTATCTCCAGATAAAAGAAAAACTCCAGAGAAACATCTCCATCCCTTACACAAAGGAAATGTGATTATTCTGTCCCTTTCCTTTTCCCTTTGTGTTTCAGCATAAGAACATACTTAAATTTTCCCTCCACCAGCCTCTTTTACTATTTTGAACCATTATTTTTTTTCTTAGCTGATTCAATTTTATCACCATTTGCACATTGCCTGTTGTTACTGAAGTGTACAGGATGGCATTAAACACATCAGTGTTTAGGTCAGCCTAAGAGTGGACTAAACGACCTGAGTCATAACTGCTATGGGCAGCATCTGCTGTTTTTTGGCTGCTTGTCAAGATACGTACTTCAATTTTCTGTTACTGATTCTACTTTGCCTCACAGAGGCTGAAATTATGGTGATAACATGGGTGGTATTTACATAACTATCTCCCCTCCTAGAGTTCTCAGAACTGATAAAGACTGGAAAGTGGACTTGGATTTCTGGAAACCCTATTACTGTTTCCTTCACCAAAGGTTCTTAAAGAGATTTGGTTGCCATGGAAGATTAACATAAATCCTTATTAAAAATAGAATAAGGAATAAAATGTTTTTACAGTAATATCCCCCAGAGTTCTGTGCTAGGATTTGTACTGTTTAACATGCTCATTTTAGTTTTTTTTAGTATTTTTGCTCTTTTTAAATTTCTAGTGGCTTTTATTTTGTCCCTCTTTACTTTGTAGTTTCCACAATTTTATGTCCTTTCCTGAGGGTTGATCCTCATTCAAGAGCATCCAGAAATGATTATTCCTAAGGGATGGCGGTGCTAGAAGGGTGATCCAGACTGGCTAGGGCAAGGAGTGAGGCTGGGATCCGTGTAAGAACAAGGCAGGCTGTACAGGTCGGGCAATCTGGGATTATGTCAAGAGAGATCGGCTCACCCGTGTGCTCCTGGCTGCTGCAGCCAGGTCAGACGGGCTCCAGGTGCTCACCCAGACAGAGCAGTGTCAGCACTGCAAGGGTTTGGCTGCAGCTACAGACAAATGAAATCAGCTCCACACAGAAATCTGCCCAGTTTTTTACATCTTTCAAGTCACTGCTAAACGGGGGCACGTCAGAAACTCCCCGGTACTGGGCAGCTGTGCCTGGAGCTCAGCCGTGGGGCAGAAGGGAAACAAAGGGATCTCTGTGCCTTGTGTAGAGTAAGGTGGGTTTGGTTTATTTTTTAAGCCTGGTTGGAGATTTCTTCATGAGCTGCAGTTTGTATGAATGTCTGTCAGTACATTCTGGGTCTGTGCCAATCAAGGATTATGAGCTATGTTAACATCCCAGAAACTGGGGAGACCAGCCAGGCATGCCCCTCACACCAGGGCTGCAGCTCAATCTCCTGATGTCTGATATCCACCATTACTACATTTTAAAGTCAGATTAAGTTACTTTCAACAGGAACTCATTTAAAATGTGTTCACTCCTCTTGACAGTGCATCCCTTGCCATCTTGACAAAGCACCTGACAATCTTTCGGTGAGGGCTGTCTTAACTTTCTTAACGAAACAGGAGAACGGCATTTGCTACAATAATTTGCTATTCATAAAAATAAAATCCAGATCCTAGGGTGTTTTTTGTTATTTTCAATGGGACATATCATTGTATCCAGGAATATAAACAATACTCAGTTCAGATATAACTTGGTAGCTGGCTGACAAAAACCCCATATCCAGACACTTGAATTTTTCCATACTTTGTATGGCACATAAGCATCTCACTGGTAGATCAAAAATACTGTTGGAAAATCCTAATTACAGGACTGCATCTAAAGGGGATTTTCCAAGCACCTGGGAACAAATGTCAGAATGTAAAAGCACTGAACACTGACCCTTGGTGGTTAGTCATGTACTTGCACATTTCTTGCCTTTAGAAAAGAAGATAAAAAAATCTTTCTCTGCTTTCCAATCAATTTTTGTAGCTCAGTTAATTTGATTTCTGGAAGCCTGCACTTCCTGAGCATCTTTCAAAAGCTTTAGGAGCATCCAATAATCCCCATGGTGTTCTGTATTACAGAGGCACATCTGAATTTTTAGATATAAAAACCAGAATCAAACCAATTCCCAATATGTGTGCAATGAATTATTACACAATACAAACTGCTCTGATACCTGCTGGGCCACACATCCCTTCACACCTGTCACAATCTCTGGCACCTTCCTGACACTTTGGAATCAAGCTGTGTACTGGAAGTTACTTTGTTTTCATGAAAAAATTCATTGACAATCTGTTTATTCTCCAAATGTGGCCAATCTAGAAGTTATTAAATCGAGTTTATGCAGCATAACTGAACATCTAAAAATCATAAAACAGGAATTAAAAAGCCACTGCTGTGGACTGGAGTTGTTTGACTCTCAGTACCTTGCTGGTCTTTACAGGTTTTGTTTCCCCACTGCTTTTCCTCACAGATGCTCAGTGGTACTTTCCAGGTCAGTTATGCCCTGAGGGAAAAGGGAGCAATGTCAGGATGATGAATGTAAAATCTTTCACTCTGTTACTGAAGTATCTGTTTTGTAAAATACTCTGAAATATTTTCCCTGGTTGCTATAGGAGATGAAAGTCATTAAAATCTATTCATTATGAATATAGTAGGAATTCTGGATATTTTGTATGTTCTGAAAATTAATACCTTGTCTGAGAGTATCTTCATTAAAGGATCTTGTATTCAGGCTTTTCTGAAAGGTGGCAATATTTTCACATGGAATAAGCATCAGTCAAGTATTTTCACATTAGATGGAAATACTTTCATCACTTGAGGCCCTTCTTGGAAGTCATTCAACTATGAGAACATTTGCTTTAAATAAAAGACTGTTTAAGCCAGTGGGATTCCTGAAATTCCTGAGCCATTTATGTTCTTCTTTACACTTTTCTTAGCATATCTTAACTCAGTGAACATTTCCTTATCCCCACAGATTTAATGCTGGTAAGAAACAGTCATCTCATTAAAACTCTGAAGGCTTGGGGTAGCATTTCTAGTCTTTTATAATTAATTTTGTTTTGACTGGAGTCATTTCTGGGCTCCTTGGTTGCAAATTTCCAGACAGTTATCTTAGCCCATGTGATACAGAGAGTGTGTATATACAGAGTACAAATGCATGCACACCTTTCACACAGAATAATAATATTGTTTACTAAAGGAGCTTCAGAAAAAAATAACAATTGCTTTTCCAAATAATAGTTAAGGTTTATCATATGCCAGTGAGGTGGGCATTGATAAACAGAAAAGATGGAAACAGAGCCACAGAACCAAAATCTATGATATCTCATTAAATTCCTTAAAAGTTATATGGGAGACAAAGCAGGTCAGAGGTAGAAAACTGTTGACCTACATTTATAAAAGAGTCTGTGACCAGATCTTGTAATTCCACCTTTTGGCTTCATCCAGGAAGACAGAAATGGTGACATCCTTAAGGAATGATCTACCTTAAATATTTCAGGGAAAAATCTCAGAACTGGCAACTTTTAAGAACAGTGACTTGAACAGAATAAAATATTTACACCTTTACAGGATCATTTCTGCTCAGCAAAACCCCAATTTGGCACTGTACCCTTCCCTCCCCCATTCTCACTGCCTCAGTTGTTTCCCTAACATTGGCTCATCTCCCATCTATGCTTTTTTATTTCTGCCTTTTCATTTACTTTCTCACTGATACCTGCACTCCTATTTTAGTACCCTTATCTTTTTTTAGTGAACAAGGTCACAAGTGAGAGTGGGCTTTGGCAATTCCAGCATTACCCAGCTGACGTTAATTGACATCATGGAATTGGCAGTGTCATGGCAGCAGCCCCTCTGCAAATTCACATGTATTAAATGTCTCAGATACAATTTCAGTTTGTGCCCAGGACAAAAAATGCAGCACTGGGATATGAACTGTGGCAGAGACGTGCTGGTCACGAACACAGTGACACTCTGAGATCCTGTTCCCACAGGTGTGCTGGAGAGGTGACTCCTAAGGCACCAGGTGGGTGGGTGGGTTTGTGTCCCAGTTTTGTGCCATACAGATTCTGATCCTGAGAGTATCCTCACACTGAATGTTGTGCACCAAATACCTCCAGTACTCACCACAGTCAGGGATTAATCCACAGGTGAGATCAGGAACATGTTTTTTTTCAGGATCAGGGAAATTACAAACTCAATTTCCACGAAGTAACCTCTTTGATTCTGTGCTAGGGTACTGGAACATACTGCTAGGGAAACTAATTCTGGTAATATCTCTAATCTCTCTAAATGAAATAATTTTCAGAACTCTATGTTCCTTTATATCAATTATATACTATTATCTTATTATTCAGTGTATACCAGTGTAGAAGTTTAACAAAATAAAATGTTAGTAACTTGTTCATTATTTTTAAATGGAAAATTAACAGCTTTCCTTTCTCAACGTCTGAAAGTTAGTGTGAAAAGCACTAAAAGACATGTTTTTAAATAGAGTATTGAAAAAGTAATCTTTAGTGGAAGAAGAGTCTGTGTTAGAAACACTGGGTGAAAATGTCACAGCCACCACTTGCTATTGAATAATTCAACAGTGTCTCAAACCCAGCCACAGCTGGCAGAGTAGGAGATCTACAGGTGTGTAAAGTGCGAGTTGTCCTGATACTGCAACATTTATATATTAAATAAACAAGTTATTGTGTACCTACCTTTCTAAAGAGTTCAGATTTCCCATAAATTCTATATCAATGTAATTTTTTTTGGTTTTATTTGAGAACAGACTTCAATTTGTCTCAGAATTTTGAACACATTTTCTTTCATGTTTGAAGGTTCTCTTGCTGTGGCATATTCCAAAGAGGGAAAGCCAGCTCCCAGGGTTCAAGTGTCTTTTGAATAGACTGCCAGGGAGGTTGCAATTATATTTTTTGTTACTGCATTTTGCACTTGGATCATTTCTTAAGATAAAGTTTAAACTTGTCTGTCCCTTCTGTTTGCATTTAGAGATTTCTGCCTTGCTTTCGTGCTGCTCTGCAACAGTTGCTCTGTTTTGCTCATGCACGGGAACCAGGGGCACAGTGGCTCTGAGCAGAGTTCTGTGGAGCCTCCAACATACCCAGCAACCCCCACTCTCACATTCCAGAATGGATCTCAGTCACAGATGAGACTTGCTGGGGGTGCATCTTGCAAAAGCCCATCTCGGTCAAAAACCCATCTCAGTCAAAACCCCCTCTGTTTGTGTCAAAGGCCATCACGTAGGCCCTGCTCCAGAACAGTGCCAGAAGTGTTTCACACCTTCACACCTCTCAGCCTTGTCTTTGTACCTCACATTTCTGGTTAGGTAGGCTTTTGTGGAGTACATCAAGAAACTGGATGTGTAAAATTGGGAATTAATAATGCAGCAATGCCAGTGGTTGGCATGTCCAGACCTGTTGGCTTTGATGGGACTATTCAACTGTGCAAACTAAAATAGGCACTGCAGTGTTTGCCAGCTCCAACTCCAGAGCCAAAACAAGGAGCTCATTAAGAGCAAACGCTGGTACTGGCACTGCAGTTGTGCTTTACAGACCCAACCAAAGATTGAGCACCAAAAAAGCCCAACCTACAATTTAGACAAAATGGATCCAGGATTCCAACTTTCAGGCATGTATTGGGACCAAAATGTCAGCAAGGTAACAGGAATGGCTGGCCTGGGGCAATCTTGGATTGACTGATTTCATGTACAGAGTCACAGAAGTTTGGATTTTCCTGTATTCATTATCTTCCTCAAAATATTCTGGAGCTATGTGAAAGGAACCTTGCTGTTATTTGACAGCCTTTCCCTGGTCAAATTCAGTGAGTTAGGCCAAATAAAATCTCAGTTTCTCCACTGAAGCCTGTGTAGTGATGGAAGTAAGAGAAGATTCCCTGCTGTCCTGCATCCCGCTGTGCCTGGAGGCAGGGGAAGTGCTTTGAACTGAACAACTGAGCAGTAATAAGCTTAGAGTGATATTAAAAATGGACCAAAAATCCTGTTTTTTCAAATAGGGCAGAATTCAGTCTGCAGTTTCCAAGACAAGCTTGTCTGTGGTAAGGCCTGAGTGACTGCAGAAGAGCCACAGCACTGCACACACAGCCCCTGGCAAGCACAAGGAAGTCTTATGGGCCCATTCTATCTTTACAAATATTATCTTTTGCTATTAGTTAGTTAGAAGGGGTTTCACCTCTGTTAGTACTAACCCAATGCTAAGTGGCCTAGCTAAAACAGACTGACCTAATGTGTTTGAACCATTTTCCAGAGAATCAACATTCCTGTCTAAAAACCACAGGACTGACATCTCTGTTAGCAGCCTTTATAAGCTCAACACTTGGAGCAGAGAACCTGGGAAAAGGTTGGAGAGAAAGAGCTGTGCTTGGAGATTTGGGGAGTCCATTGGGGGGAAGCATTGAACAACCTGGAGAGGATGTCACTGCCTATACCATGTTCTCTGGATAACCCAACTGCTCCAGTTTCTGCATCTGCCAGTCTGGCACCTTTAATAAGTAATTAAATCACACTGTGGACGTGAATACATTCTTGGATAAATAATAAATGACAGCTCTCACACTGGCACGCGAACACACAGGCATACCCAGGGCAGGAAATCACACACAGCTTTTCATTTGTTGCTAATTTATCTGTAACAAAGTGAGGAAGATACCCCGGGGACTGGTGACTAACAAGGAGCATTGTTTATGCTACAAATCCCATCCGGTTATTAGACTTTGAAAAGTGCTTTGTTTAGCTTATCAGTGCTTCAGCAGGAATGCCAGGGGCAGTATTTCTGTTCTAAGTGTATTTCTATTTCAATATTACTGACACATAAGAGGTTATGTGTTACCTGAGGGCTGAATATTTGAGTTGTGCTTCAGTGCCTTGTTGAATCAGGATCAGGATGGTGAACACTGCACAAAACCAGGCCCTGAACAGGTTTCCTTATCAATTTTACAGCATTAAATTGAAGAACACTTTTACATAAATCAAGCCTTTCTCAAGGACCGTAGAACATGACAATGAATAAATACTCTATGGCATATAAATGCCCATCGTTAAAAATTATTTCAGCATGTTAGACCTTTTGCTTAAATTCTGCACTTCACTTAGGATGTGGACAAATTTGTATTACACAGCCTAAGTCTGCAGTTATGCAATTCCAAAGTATCACAAGTGTCTGGCAAGTTTTAGAGATGTTTCACAACAGCACTGATAAGCTGCTACTCTGTCAGGTGATCAAAATACCTACAGTGTGCCCTTGATTCAAGTTAATATTTAAAAATAGGAATGCACATTTTTTATTTGGCTCAGCTATCTTTTCAATTATGTTAAATGTCTTTTGGGCGAGAAGACTTAGAAAGGGTTGCCATTATTTTCAGATGGAAAAAAATTACATTTCATTTAATAATTTATAAAACCTGAGAGTCCCTGGCCAACTAAATTAATAATTGGCAAATAAAGGCAACTAAACTGAGCAATTAAATTATTAATTGGCAAATAAGGCATAATTTGCCTTGCTGAATGATTCCACACCAACTCAGCTCCTCTCAAACATTTCTGCAAAGAGGAATGGCAAGATCAATCTCAGGTAGGTCTCCTGGACCACTGTAAGAAGTGCTCACTAGACTGATTATGAATAAATAATTGAAGTATTTATTTAGACTTTTCATCATTAGATTACTTTTGGAAAATCTACATGAATAAATTCTTCCTTCTAAAATGTCCTGGTTTTAATTTGCTTATGATTAGGTTAGACCTGGATTGCCAAACCATGAGCTGTCCAGTGTACCCTCCCTTGTCATCTGAACTGGCCTTGTAACTGAGCCTGGGAGCAGCTGCTCCCCTGCCACAGCAAAGTGACACTGTCACCCCTCCCCGACAGCTTCAAACCTCAGAGCAGGGGCTGCTTTACTGAGCAATGCCACGTGCTCATGGAAAAACTAATAAATGTTTGTGAGCTCTCCATCTGCTGAGAGCTTTTTAAACTTTAATACCCCTCCTCGAAGATGCTGATGAGAACAGACACACTACTGATGCTTTAGAGCTAAATTTCCTTTTGGTAAAACTGCAAGATGTTGTGAGCTGAACTGTGTCACAGAGATAAAGGTTTATACCCAGGAGCTGCTGGCTCCACAGCCAACAAACAGATCAGTGCTTCACGCCTTCCTTTTGTGGGCAAGAATTAAAAAACATATCAAATCTGGTGGCTGGGGTTTAGTACAATGGGCTTGGTTTTGCAGGGTTCTACTAGAATTATTTTCTGAAATGCTCAGCTTTCATTTTAAGCCAAAAGATGTGTCCAGATCTGAAAAGCTCTTTTTTCTCAAAAATCTGACAGTCACAGTTTCAAAGCCTGGCCCCTCATGAGGTACCTACATGAAGAATTCCATTGCAAATCTGACCTGTGGAAATGTGACCCCAGTGAACACCTGTGCTGTGCACTGAGAAATAGAAACATAAGGACCTGATTCCTGAAAAACTTCAAGGCTTACTTTGAATTCTGTTTTTCAGAATAATATGCTTTGGAATTTGATGTTTGATTGGGCTTTCTTTCATTTCCTCAAAATTAATTAAATTGACTTCTACTGGACTAAACATTTTATCACTCAGTTCTGGCTGAGGATTCCCAAGAACATATGGGTTCGAACCACCAAAGGCACCCAGATCCAAATACAAGACTGTGAAATAGTTGTTCCTAAGGGCACTTGCAAAGTTTCTAGCCCAAAATGTTAGGAGGAATGACAATTTGAATAGTGCTGTTTGAAATAAGACTCAGAATTACTGCATGAGAAGAAGCTCCCTAAAAATCTGTCATTTTAGGCAAAGTCACACTAAATATTTTATTTTGTTACAACTCTTTAGTACCATCAAAACCTCAAAGCTTCATGACACAAACCCTGACTGCTATAATCAATCTCTAATTCAATCACAGTTCAAATGTTCAAAGGCCAGCTCAGGATTTTGGAAGGGGTAAATTAGTTCTGGCAGCCTTACAGCAATGTCAGATATCATCTGTCTTCTCCTTCTATCAGATCCAGCTGGGCGGGCCCCTCAAAACCAGGACAGAGCCAACTCCAGCATCATTGGGAGTGCTTGGACTCAATAAATCAGAAATTTGATTATGTGCAGATAATCTATTAAAAATAAATTACAGACCTGGCATGTTCTTCCCAGCTAATCGACTCAGGACAAGACTAAGCCACTGATGTCTTTGCTGAAGGTGACCCTGAGTCTCCTTTTCCTCCCAAATGCTCTCTTAATGCAGTTGGAGGAAAGAATGTCCATTCCAGGTGAAACCAGGGCCACCTTGCCTTGGTACCTGCTGGACCCAGAAATTCCTGGCATCCATAAGAATGTCCATGGCTTTACTGTGTATGTAAGGAACTGCCTGGTTTTGCTCCTTCTGGATCTGCCACCCACTGGTCATCCTGCAAGAGGTGACTGAATTTCCCACCTTGCTTCACTCAGTCAGTGAGTGAATGATGGATTTGAATGATGTTTGAATGGTTTTTATTCTTTCTATACATACACATATTATTCAAACAGTGCAGGATCACTGTCTGGATCTTTGCTGTAATTCCTAGTCCTAATCAAATGCTCTGGGAGCAGACCTTCAGCATTTGCAGGGTCTCAACAGACCCTTGCACTCAAGCTGACGAGTTTCCAGCCCCTTTGCCTGGTGCCTGAGCTCAGCAGCCAGAACTGGTATCATCAGCAACCCTAAATATTCCATTTTCCCGTTTTTTGACCAGCACAAACTCTCTTTCTGCAGACTTGCTCATGAGTCATCTGGAAATAAACCATAATCACTTGTCCCCTAGGAGTCATATATAAGCTAATTATTGTACAAGACAAGCTAATACAAAATACACAAGAGGTTTCAACTTGTTGAGGTTGCAAAGGGCAAGGGAGCCTTTCAGAATTTCCATTGGTTACGGTCTGGGAATGCTGGGCTTCCCTTGACTCCGTATCTATCACATAATCAGAAACACATTTTGTTCCCTTTGTTGTAGGAGGCAAAGCTAAAGAAATGTGGGTGTTATTCTTGTGCACAGAGTAGATACCTAATGGGCTTGTGTGTGCAGTGTTTGTAAACACAACTGCTCTGGGCTGCAGCTGACAGAAACCAT